AGCATTGAAACCACATTTTACTCAGACCAAGGTACAAGTCTGTACTCACAAAAGTACCACACAACTCGTCATTTACAATGTATACAACTGAGGTGAAGGAAACATGACAAATACACATGGAATTGTTGTATATTATATACAATTTGTTAAATTAATATACAGTATCTACAAGCTAACTAAATTTTCAAAGGAGAGTTCCCGACCCTGTTTTCAGCGCTGACTAGCTGCACCATGTGAGCACCAGTTTTCTGCATGTTGTATTTATGTATTTTATTTCAGCTTTTAAAGCAGTTGTGAAGTCACAACATACACTATGCTCTTATAACATCAACAGTGTACTAGGAATACATACTGGAGTTGTTTGATAATGCAATCAAAGCTTACTTGAAAAAATCCCTTTTATGTAGTTGATCACTGCCTTTTATCTGCCCATCACGTTGTACAACATCCTGGATTCCCAGTGTGCTTTGCTTCTCTTTCCCTGCTGCTTGATATGATGCAATCTCCATTTCTCAAGACTACCTATCCCATCATGCATTGCTTCCAGCAAGCAATGATATTGTTACATTGTTCAGACACTGAGTTGTAGTTCAAAAGGCAGGCACTGTGAGTTGTGACATAAGTGCATATTCACAGGACTGAGTGAAATTGTGTCAGCGCATTGAGGAAGTATATCCTATGGGCACTTATTCATGTTTACAAATGTCTAGATCAGAGATAGGCAAACACCAGCCCTCCAGCTGTGGTGAAACTATAACTCCCATCATGCATCTGCCTCTGTTGGCCCTGCCTGTCACAGTCTTGCCATGCCTAATGGGATTTGTACTTTCAGCACAGCTGGAGGACCAGAGTTTGCCCACCCCTGATTCTAGATCAATTGGTTATTAGGAGTCAGATAGAAAATTGACCATGGAAACCCTATAAGTTGATATTTATTTTAGGGCTGCGGAAATTAACGATCAATCCCTCGATTGCGGCCATATTGAGTGGGGCACATAAGATTAATAACGTGCTGAATTAGTGTGATCCTATTTCATTTTATTACTTTATTGCTGTGCTGTATGTGTATAGGCCAATGTAGTTGGATGTGTATGTGCGTTATAATTAATCGAAATTAATCAATTAAAAAAATTTCGATTAATCGAACAGGAAATTTTTAATCATTACCAGTCCTAATTTATTTTAAAAAAAGGAGACTTAAAAAATTATCTAAACTGAAAACCATAAAAGTAAAAGACTGCAGCTAACCAGTGCTTAGATGTCGGGGCTTATGTTTTCTTTTTTTAGTTTTTTTTTTTTACTCGGTGATCCTTCAAATAACACACTTCCAGTCTCTGGGTGGCTACACTTTCTTCTGTACCACATGTAAGGAGGAACCCATGGCTGCCACCCAAGCTATACTTTAAACATGTCCGCCTTTGATCATCTCCGTTACATAGGGAATGGCGGGATTAGTAATCAACATAAGAACAGGGCTGGACAAATCTCAGAAGCCAGGTAGCCAATGCTCCTTAAAAATGACAGCAGGTGCCTAACTTTGGAGGTTTTCTCTGGTTGTTGGAGCTGGTTCCTGGATGCACAGACTGACTCCTGAATTCTATTATAATTTGTCTACCCTGTAGAAGAAATATTGGATTGTTTCACTTTCAATTTAGTTCACAGGAAGTGACAGGGATGCTGCATTTCTGGAAAGATCAACAGGTGATATTCTGTACTTGCTGAAAAAATGTTCTTAGCCTGAAAAATGAAAACTGGTGCCGCCACCACATCTAAGGACTGGTACTCTGCCACAGATTACATTTTTGTTCTTGGGTTTAGTAATCCATTAAAGGAGAACTATGGAGAGATTCGTCACTCCAGAGAACACGTTTCCACTTCTCTAGAGTCCAGTGGTGGCGTGCTGTACACCACTGCATCCGACGCTTTGCATGGCACTTGGTGATGTAAGGCTTGGATGCAGCTGCTGGGCCTTGGATACCCATCCCATGAAGCTCTCTGCGCACTGTTGTTGTGCCAATCTGAAGGCCAGATGAAGTTTGGAGGTCTGTAGCTATTGATTCTGCTCCGATGCCTAGCCCGATACTTGAGCTTCCAGTATCAGGAAGCCGGGCAATGCGTCATTACACTGCGCCGGGCTTCCCGATTGGCCAGAAAGCCGGCTCCATGCTTCCTCGTCACCTGATCAGGAAGCCAGGTGGCGAGTCATTACACGCCGCCTGGCTTCCTTAATGGGACTTTCGGTATCAGTATCAGCGAGTACCAAAAAAAATAAAAAATATCGGTACTTGTACTCGATACCGAAAAAGCGGTATCGGTGCATCCATACATATAAGCATTAGCCGGCCCATTGTTCTGTGCTGAGCGCATGATCACTAGCTCGCTCCAAGGACGGTGACTAATCTGATGCCGACAGTTTACATTCTGGAATTCTTACATTTCCTTCAAACCCACTGCATTCCATCACTTTTTTTTTTTTTTGCAAGCTTTATGTGAAGCAGCATGTCCTGAGTGAACATTCCTCACTGTAATGACTTGCAATGCTTTGCCTTAGCACGCGCATAACACCATGGTGTTACCTGCCCCAATTCATTTTAAGTTCCCGTTTCATTACCATCCATTAAAAAAGTGATGGTAACGCAACGCAATGGATCCAGTATGAATGGGACCTGAAGAGCTGCTGGAAGTTGGCAGCTAGGGGTTAATAGTTATTGAACAATGTATTCCTTTACCAAATAGTAAACATGATAGGATGGGAATGCAGTAGCAGTTGTTTTATTAAGACAGAAATCTTGACCAAGCAGGCAAATTCATGGTGGGGACAGGGTTCGGTGGGCTGAAAAAAAAAACATGTACCATGTCACGTACCATGGTGCCTCATGGTTTGGTGGGCACGGTGGGTGATCTAAAGGGCATGGTTTATTTTGACACGTTTTTACACATCATCTGTCATTATCTTCCTTTGCGTCTCTCTGCATCTGGTCACATGACATCTCAGAGCTGTGAGAGGCATGGATCATAGGTGTGAATGGAGAGCTATGCGTCACTGACTGCATATCCTGGCCTTATGGAGGGGTGAATGAATGGTGAAGTATCTCCACTCATGGCCACCAATTATTTATATATATATATATATATACATACACAGTGGGTGGGACCGAGCTCCTAAAATCTGGACGGAATCATGAGGACAGAGACAAGTGGACACTAAGAACAAAGCTTTGTGTTCGTATATAGAATTTGTGCTACGCTTCTGTGGTAATGGGGGGCGGATACTTGAGGACCGCAGCATACTGCATGACTCTGATATACTGGATTGCATACTGGGTGACTGTTGCATAATGAATGGCATACTGGGTGACTGTGGTATACTTGATGACGGTTACATATTGGATGGCATACAGGGTGACTGTGGTTCACTGGATGACTGTTGCATTCTGGTTGGCATACTGGGTGACTATGGTATATCTGATGACTGTTACATATTGGATGGCATACTCTGTGACTGTGGCATACTGGATGACAAACATACCGGATGACTTTGGTACACTGCATGGCATAGTGGATAACTGTGACTGTGGCATACTGGATAATGGGGGAAACTGGATGATTGTGGCATGCTGAATGGCATACTTGGTGATTGTAGCATACTGGTTGACTGTCATACTGTGTGACTGTGGTTCACTGGGTGTCTAATATAATGAGCAACTGTGGCATACTGTATGGAATACTGGGTGACTCTGTCATACTGGGTGAGTTTGTCATACTAGGTAGCATACTGGAAGACTAATGTACTGGAAGACTGGTGCATACTGTATGACTCGACCACTGGGCAGCATACTGAGTGACTGGGGGATACTGGGTGGCGTACTGGGTTACTATATACTGAGCTACTGGGGCATACTGGGTGACTGGTATACTGGAAGATGAATATACTGAGTTACTGGGGCATACGGGGTGACTCTGCCATACTGCATGGTATACTGGGTGACTAATACACTGAGTTACTGATGGTATGCTCTATGACTCTGTTCTACTGGGTGACTCTGTTCTGCTGGGTGTCACACTGGGTGATTGTCATACAGGGTGTCCGGTGCCCCGAGCAATGTGGATAGGGTGGCACGTGTAGCACAGACAGCGGAACATAATGGAGCCGGCAAGGCCGCGGGCTTTGTGTTGGAGACGGCCGGACATTCGCAGCCTCCCTCACATATGCGTGAGGGGGTCATAAAGCACGGAGAGGAAGGAGACAGCACCTCCTCCTCCTGTTTAAAAGTTACACCCAACTCTCTCCTTCCTCCACCCTCTCCAGCCTGACATGTGAAGACCGACATAGGATGTGACATGTTCATAAACAAAGGGGAATTCTCTCAGTCATACACAATCCAGGTAGCGGAGCGATATATGACATGGCGCAGGATCAAAGGCGGCCAACATGAAAGCTGGGAATCCCTGACCACCTCCCGCCCCATTCCATACAATGCTCCGAGCCATTTAACTACACTCTCGTCTCATCCTGCTACGGTTTATATACTGCCAAGAATGGGAATAGTAATAATAATAAGAGTTCAGGGACCCTTTGATGTTGTCACATTAGAAAGCTTGACATCCACACACCTGGGAGTTAGCTGATTATTACCCAGCACATGGAGGACATAGAGATCTCCATCTATCTTTCCTTGTAGGACAGACAGATCCTTTCTGATGCTTATGGTCAATGCCGGGCTCCTCTTCCACCTCATGTACATGTCACCTAGTTATAAAAGTATACCCAGACTAATAAGACATGATTTATAATTGTCTGATCATCATAACAAAGCACTGACAGCACAGGTCCGATGACCCCCGCATGCCATGGTGACATGCCAGGTCCCCTGTGCCAGGCACACGTGAGCACTTTAATGCAGTAAGTCTACTTGATACAAAGAGGAATTATCTCCTGCCCTGTGTCATCTGATCGCTACAATGGAACAGTGAAGTGACAACAAGAAAAAGTGACTTACGTGCTTTGCAGGGATCGTTGTATTCAAAGGACTCGGCTTTATCCTCCTCGTAATACACAGGATCATCATCGAATTCAAGGCCATTGCACAAAGATAACTTTTCACATAAAGTCCAGCCAGTCAGAAGGAAGATGAGCCAGGAAAGCATTTTCATTGCACTTTGCTGAGAGGGATGATCTGCGGATGGGTGACAGGAGGAGACCGATCGCCTGCTAGGCGAATGGCTACTCCCAGTTAGAAGCCTTTGCCTTGGCTCATCAGGAGTGAACGGTGATCACCATGCATGGAGCAGAGAGAAAAATCGGAAAAGTTTTTTCCTCGGATCGCCTGTGGGATCGGCCACTGTGTCTTTAGTGATTAGAATGATGCTTGTCAGTTGGGATCATCACACTCCCATGTGAAGGCATTCACAGGATCGCCGTATAACTGAAGACAAGGCTCTGAGGCTCCTGCAGCTTGCTCATCAACTTACACGTTCTCCCACTCCACAGCCCGGCTGCCAGGAAGACCTGATCTGTACAACAGCACATCTGAGAAGCTAGGATCGGGGGTGGAAATATAATTTAAAAAAAAGAGAGAAAAATAAATGAATTGCACTAAACTTGACAGTGATGACATCAGAAGATGTGCACCAAGTGGCCCATTCACACTCCAATGCCTTTCTGTTAACTTGCAGGAACCACAATAATAAACAAACAAACGTTCCATGCACAGAGCAATCAGGGTCAGGGATCTCTTGATACAAGCACACACTCACCTAGACGTGGGCTTCTCCTGGTGTACACTCACTACCTTCATCCTTCAGAAAAGATCCATTGATTGATCAGTCCAAGAACTGGGCAGAGTCAGCAATAAAATATACAAAGTCAAGTGTGATAAATACAATGCAGGTCTTCCTAGATCATGTATCCTGGTGCGATTCCTCAATCACAGCAAGTGTCTGTGCTGCACAGCAGATCATGGCAACAACACAGCTAGTTATATCTAGGAGAAATGAAGATGTTGGGGCAAGTGAAAGGGTTGTGTCGGAGTCCGGGTGCAGGAGGACACAGAGCTGCGCAGGGGATCCCAAGTATTGAGTGGAGCTGGATTGATAATCCCGCTGTAGTAATTACATTTGAAAGTCGTAGCAAAGTAAGGTGAGATTTACAGAGCTCAGCCTTCTGCCCCTCCCCCTCTCCTCCCCATTCTGAGGGGAGGGGAGCTCGCTCAGACATCTCTCTAATCCCGTTAGGGTGTCACATTTGACACTAGTGTTTGCAAAAGCTTCAGTGCTCTTGTTCTGAATTGGGATTCCACTTAATTTCTTGTATTGTATGACCCCTAGGCATGCTTCATTTTATGGCTGCACTTTGCTTTATAGTCATGTGCTGTGTATAGATGCATTGTGTGAGCCACTGGGATGTATTGTGACTCTTGGCATGTGAGCCTTTGTCAACCAGGTGCCTTCTGGTTTCCCATGGATGCCTTCTGGTTTCCTCATGGGTGCCTTCTGGTTTCCTCATGGGTGCCTTCTGACTTCCTCACGTGTGCCTTCTGGTTTACCATGGTTGCCTTCTGGTTTCCTCATGGGTGCTTTCTGAATTCCTCATGGATGCCTTTGACTTCCTCATGGGTGCCTTATGGCTTCTTCATGAGGCGCCTTCTGGTTTGTTAAAGGATGCCTTTTGGTTTCCTCATGGATGCTTTCTGGATTCCTCATGTGTGCCTTCTTGTTTCCTCATGAGTGCTTTCTTGTTTCCTCATGGGTGCCTTCTGGTTTCCTCATGGGTGCATTGAAATTTTCACACAGCGTCAAGCCTTTCCATGTTGCCACCAGCACAATTTAAATGAAAGATACTAATCCAGGGAGGGTGGGATCCATTAAGAAAAGGACAGAAGTTCGCCTTCATCCAGGCTTGCTTCACCTCACATCCTCTGCCATACAGCTGCGGCTCCCAATGCAGTGGTAGGACTCTGATGTGATAGGGTCTTCTGATGTGAAGCAGGGCTTCTGATATGAAGGGGCACTCTGATGCGAAGAGGGGAAGCTCACTTTATGTGTTTTTAATCCATAACACATGCCCACCTCAGATAAGGGTCTGGTATGAATTTTATAGGGCTCCATGTTGTTTTTACATTTTTTAACATTTACATTTTTTTTTAGTCTGAGGTGCCTTGAGATTTTGCATACATTTAAAGGTTCCCATGAATCGAAAAAATTGAGAAACACTGGTGTGGGGTACATGATCTGCAGGTTACATTACAACACCTGTAAGACCCCTTTCACGCAGCCGGTCCGATCAGGCGGACCTGTTCGGATTCCCAATGCTAGTCTACGGGGAACCGTCTGTAAATGGACAAGCGTCGATTTATACCCGGTTACCACCACCTCCTGCCGGAGAAACAGACGAATCAGTGATCCGTTTAGCTGGACCGTATCAGGAGTAATCTTATGTAAACTGACACATGTCCATTTACATCAGATTCCTCATAGACCAACATGGGGTCCAGCAGTTTCCGTTTTTTCCTCCATCGCAAGGTGGAGGAAAATACTGTACAGTCACGGATGTCACAGCATTGACATCTGCTCCATACTGCTGTGATCAGGAGAGGATCTGTGCATGGATCCTCTCCTGATCAGCCCGTGTAATAGGGGCCTAAGAGTAAACTGATCCCATGACATGATTGTCTTCAGATCTGGCTAGTGGGCAGACTTGGACATGGCTATGGACAGATGCATACACATCTGGCCATACACGTATATATTAGCGATTGATCTAGGTACAGGCGACTGCAGGCAAGCCATTCCTCCTTTTAGATTGTAAGCTCTTACAAGCAGGCCCTTCTAAACCTCTAGCCTTGCATTGTACTGTAACTGTACTGTCTCCTCCTATTTTATAAAGCAATGTGTAGTATAAATCCTGTGTAATAATGATTCATTTTAAAATATAGAAATAAAGCAACAGATACGGTATTGATTGAAAAGACGATCTATCAAATTGATCTGTTGAAAAGGATCATTTAAAGCTAAACTCCAGGTACTAAAACTTTTATTCAAACATATTCCTCAATACCCACACAGTAGTGATGCACAGATACTTTTCGAGTACCAGTACAGATACTTGGCATTTTCATGAGAACAACCAGTGTTGCAGCGGTTGCAGCTGGGACCTGGCTCTGGCACTCCACCACTGTCCTGAAATCATTAGTCTGTATTGTTTTATAAAAACTGTCACATGACAATAAACAAAAATGTATCAGTACTCGTACTTGTAAGTACTCGGCAAGTACCAGTACTCGTACTCGCAAAACTGGTATCTGTGCGTCCCTTTATTTATATTTATAAAAACAAAAATCATACATTAAAACAGATGTACAAATCCCAGGAGCTCCGTGTGCTCCTTACAAATGACATTTGCCTCCTAACTTTTGCATTTTTCTCTAGTCTAGTCTTGGAGCTCAAAAGTATCGGTACTTGTACTCGTACTTGTACCGAGTACTGTACTTGGTATCTGTGCAACCCTACCACACAGGATATAAAACCCCTTTGTGTGCATCCCAGAGTTTTGATCTGATGGCCGACCGACTTCCCAGTATCAAAATCAATCGAAAGCTCTCTATGGATGAAACGGAGGGTCTGTGGTTTATGATTCTTATTCAATTAAATCATTTTAGTTCCATCAAATGATCAATTAAATGATCATATCGATACATGTGTGGTCAAGTGGGGGTGGGGGGTGACAAGTGGACAGAATAGAAGGGTCTGGCTCCTCTTATGTCCCCCCTAAAATAAACTAACAGGCACTTATTTCCTCTCTGCTCCATTGCAAACGTAGACACTTGGTGGACCAAAAGCAGGGGACAATAGCGTTTGGCTGTAAACATCCAAGCTGATCTGTTCGTTTTTAACCCAAGAACAATTTATTGAGGAGTTCCTGCCAGGGACACAAGGTACACATACATTTGTTTTCTTCTCCTGATCCTACTGAAGTCAAAAAATGAAGATAAAATCATGTACAGTCTACAGATTCCCTAACATGGGCACATATTCATTGTATGACCGCCTTTAGATTTATCAACAATTGCCTAAAGCTTATCTCTAGTAAAAAAATAATCCCCTTGCAGTGGGGCTACACCCCCTGGGTGTTAACTGCTCATTTTTGTCTAGGAGACTTTTGTATAGCACTTATCTAATGCAGGGCCCATAGCCCTACATTATACATAAGAACGACGAGGGCCAGTCCACAAGCTGGAGCAGAGAGGTAATCACCAACCACTGGGGGAGTGGGGATCAGGTAAGTGAAAGTTCTCTTCACCATACCCCTAGACATAAACAAGAAGTTAACCCTTGCAGTGTAGGGCTAGACCCAGGGCCGGATTTACTCTCTCTGCTGCCCCAAGGCAATGGAGAATGGCAACCAGATGGCGGAGGCGGCAGGGTTAGTTTTAGGACCTGCAGGCTGCATACAAGTGATCTCGGCGGCATTTGTAAACAAATGAGCATCTTCCCCGCTCTACATTTAGCCCTGCTTGCCCAAAGTAGTAAATGTAGAAAACAACTGCATGTCCTGGGCGTCGTGAGATTCCACACCCCTGCCGCCCCTCTGTTCCCTGCTGCCCCAAGGCCAGGCCTCGGGGGGCCTTGTGGGAGATCCGGCCCTGGCTAGACCCATTGTAAAGGTGCCCATACACTTTACAACCCTCGCAAGACTTTTGTCTCGCAAGACTTTTGAGGGGTGGGCTTCCGATGACTGCAATGCTAAACGGGCAGTGTGGGCGTGCGCACACCGGCCCGTTCGGCAGTTGTCTCTCGATCATGTTAAAAACCAGCCGCAAATCGTACTATTCTCGGCTGGTTTTCCAACATGCTCGAAATACAAAAGTCGTGCAACCGTACAGTAGGAACGGTTGCACACCTTTCATACACTGCACGATTCTCGTACGATCGCGGGATTTCCCGCGATTCCCGTACAAGAATCGTGCAGTGTATGGGCAAGTTAAGGGTAGTTATTTTTGAAACTCGTAGAAAGTCTTTAAGCTGACCATACACTTGCGGGCAGAAAGAAAGGGATCCAGCAGATTCCTCCATTCATTCTAAATAGCGTGGATGAATTAAACTTTCCTGCTGGGCGCCCATCACTGTCAAAACACCTAATGAGTGACTGCAGATGATTGACCGCAGTCACGATTTTCTACCCGGCTCCTTTGACATTAAGGAAAAAAAGTTGACTTTTGTCGAGCTGGTTGGAGCTTGAATTTCAGCCAAGTCAGCAGAACTCAGCTGAAATTCAAGCAGTGCATAACCAT